AATCAGCTGAGCCATCAGCTGATGTGTGTTTACGACTAGCTGTGATCATATGATATAGCTGGAATTGAGAACCGAGCCTGACTTCGTGGCCTGCCTGAACTAACGCTATGCTCAATTAGTGTCTTTCCTTGTCCTACTAAACCTTACATTCATCTCCATCGTCTTGTCTCCAGGAACTGCTTGTGAGTTTGTGGTCAACACAAGCAATGCAGGCCCTGGCGCTTTAGCTGTGACCATCGACGGGCCATCCAAGGTGAAGATGGACTGTGTGGAGTGCCCCGAGGGCTACAGGGTCACATACACCCCAATGGCTCCTGGCAACTATCTAATTTCCATCAAATACGGTGGTCCTTACCACATCGTTGGAAGCCCCTTCAAGGCCAAGATCACTGGTGAGGAAGACCTTTATTTTTCAGGCAAAATCAAAATCTGAAAGCTTTATAACTGAGTGTAAATCCCTCCAAGGTTGACTTACACGCTCTTCTCTATCTTCCAGGTTCCAAGCTCGTGTCCAGCCACAGTATGCATGAAACCTCCTCTGTCATGGTTGACCCTGTGACACGTGCCATCAGCTGTTCTCAGCAGGGTGCTCCCACCCAGTCAGATGCCAGCAAGGTTGTGGCTAAGGGCCTGGGCCTGACCAAGGGTTTCATCGGCCAGAAAAACAGCTTCAGTGTTGACTGCAGCAAAGCAGGTGTGTATGATTGTGATGTGCATGTTCTTTTCCACCCCAATATCTTTCTTTTTAGTTACCTCGCCCATTGTTATTGTTATTATAAAGAATTATAACTGTGTGTTCTTTCACACTACTATGTTGTTATTGAAAGAAAATGGAAAAAATAATATTGCTTTTATGTATCAATGTGGATTGTATACAACAATCATTTGCAATAAAAAATAATCTTAAAAAAAGATCCGCTTTTAAATTTGTTTTGGGGAAAATTACTCAAAAAATGGGTAAAGAGGTGGAGCGTGAGTGGAGCTTGATGGGCTGAAAACAGCTACTTGTGATGGCACCCACCTGTCACTCAAAGCGACCACGCCCTTAATTATGCATAACTTTAAGCCTTTATATAATTTAAACAGGTGAGTTCGATACAAATTCACCCCCTATATAGATTGTCATGAACAGGAATATTAGCTATAGAGAGTAAAACAGTTTTTTGTACCAGGCTGTAAAC